CTGAAAGTCTAGTAACAATACTTTTTTACTTATGCACACACACACTTGTGTGTATGAGAGCTTCAAAAATTCATAGAAAAATTCCATTCTTCTTAAAATCCATTTTTCTACAAAATCTTTGAAGCCCCCTCATATATACAACCCTCTTTTAGGAGTCTCTGGGTAATACAAATAATTAAGCACTTAACTGCTAAGTGAAAGGTTACTCTTCATTATTTGAGAGGTTCAAATCCACCAGAGATGCTCAGAAGAAAGTCCTGGCTATCTGCTTCTGAAAAGTCACAGCTTTGAAAGCCCTATTGAGTGCAGGTACACGTTGTTGTTGTTGTGAAGTTCCGTCAAGTTGGTTCCGATCCCTAGGAACCCTATGGGTTTCCAAGGAGCAGCTGGTGAGCTTGAACCACCGATATTACAGTTCAAACGGCTTTGCAGTCTGACGCATTAACCCACAGCGCCACACCAGGACTCCGCAGGCACACATAGAAGTTGACATAAATTGGAATTGACACAACAGCCATGAGTTTTAGGTTATCCTGTGAACTGCAAAGATGGCAGTTCAAGTTCACCAGCTGCTCCTCAGAAACCTTATACAGGGTCGCTATGGGACGGAATCGACTTGACGGCACTTCACAACAAACAACAAAGGTACATACTGTATATTTTTTCCTGTCATTTTCTTTTCTTATTTGAACACATAGCATGAAAATCCTCTTCAGCCACCAAATACATAGATAGGTCTCATGCTGTTAACAACTACATAGCATTTTTCAAAAATATATGAAAACGTACTTACTCTTGGTGAGATATTCAAATAGTATGGGGAGTAGAAGCTGTCAGGTCACAGCCACTGCCCCATCATTCTCCCATCTTATGGATGTTACATTAAGAGATGAGGATTCCTAAGCATGCTGTGGGAACAGTACCCGAGTGGGCCTGCAGAGAGGAGCAGGCAGATGCCATATAGGGAAGTAGAATGGAATTGGGCAGAAATGATAGAAAGCAAATGAAAGAACAACTGGGGGCCCAAGGCTGAGATAGTCAATAATAAAAATTAGGGGGATAGAAAGTAGGGAAGAAAGCTAGGGATGACCAGGAAAGTAAGTCAGGAAAGATGGGCGCTCTTTGTAAAGAAAAGAACTGTTGTGAGGACAGCCCACGTAGCACTGCGGGAGCTGACCCAGAAAGCTTTCCTCATTCCCCTCGCAGAAGATGGAAACACTGTCTCTCAATGCTCTTGCCACATGGTTTTCCAAGGCCCTGGAGCATTTGCCTGTTTCCGGGTGGAACTTGTTTACCTCTCCGTACTGGAGTCCTAAAGTTCAAAACAAACTTCTAAACAAAGGGATTCTCTGCTCTATGGTTCTCAGCTCCATTCTCCTGTAAGGAAAGGGCCAACATTCTAGTCTCCTGATGACTTTCCCAGCTGATATCACAGAGTAGACCTACCCCCAGCTTCCTCCTGCGTCTTTCCCAGCTATGCCAATTGTTGTAGACATCCTCATGGGTATAACTTTTTGGCTTCTTCTAACTTTTTTCTTCCTATCTTTGTAACTATGCAGGGAAAATAAGATTGTTTCACCAACATAAGTTATTTGAGGCTTTTTAGATTACTCCAAGGTTCAATGGTCTCTCCTAAGAGCTGAGTCCATCAACATCCAGCTGAACCTATTAAAAACATCCCTAGACAAGAAAAACTAGTAGAAGATCCCTGTAGTCAAAGGCAGCCAACAACAACAGTTGGAAAATTATGAGACATATTTTCTGGTGGTGGCCAGAAAATATGTCTCATAATTTTGAGGAAAGGCCCAACTGGTCTACTTAAATAGAAAATGATAAGCTTGTCACTGAGGGCAGGCATCAAGGAGGGATGACTATAATAATTAGCATACATTAAGCCTTCATAAGTCATGCATTTACACTAAATATTTCAATACAAACAATAATCTATGGGGAAGAGATGACATTATAGCCATTTTACATATGAAGCAGTTGATACTCAGATAGGTGAGTACCTTCCCCATGGTCATGTAGCTAGTAAGTGATGGAGCTGGGATTGAAAATATGATGAAAAGTAATAGAACTGGTATCTAGAGTCTGGGCTCTTCACCAGCAAACTACTGAATTTACTTAATTCATGCTTTGCTTAATTAATATTGTCCATTGTTTTTGTTGTTGTTGTTGTTAGGTGCCATCGAGTCAGTACTGACCCATAGCAACCTTATGCACAGCAGAATGAACACTGCCCGATCGTCGGCCAACCTCACTACTGTTGCCACAGTTGAGTCCATCGATGCTGCCACCTGGCGAATCCATCTCGTTGGGGGTCTGCCTCTTTTTCTCTGACCCTCCATCTTACCAAACATGACATCCTTCTCAAGCTACTGTTCCCTCCTGACAATATGTCCAAAGTATGAGAGACGAAGTTTGGCCATCTTGGCCTCCAAGGAGCACTCTGGCTGCACTTCTTCCAGCACAGATCTGTTGGTTCTTTTGGCAGCCCATGGCACTTTCAATATTCTCCTCCAACACCATAACTCTAAAGCATCAATTCTTCTACGGTCTTCCTTATTCACTGTCCAGCTTTCACATGCATACGAGGTTATTGAAAACACCATGGCTTGGGTCAGGTGCACCTTAGTCCTCAAGCTGACATCTTTGTTCTTCAACACTTTAAAAAGGTCTTGTGCAGCAGATTTGCTTAATGCAATATGTCATTTGATCTCTTGATCAAATCAGATTTATGACCCATGAGGTGAGTGTCCTTGTTTATTTTGTACAACCCTGTGTCCTCAGCAGCCAGCACAGGACTTGTCACAAGCAGACATTCAATAAACAGTTGCTGAGTGAATGCATTAATGAATGAATGGCGTGTTTTTATTTGACCATGCACTGTAATCTGACATTTTATTAATATTGACATTTGGGATGATAACAAAAACTAAGTATAGTTACTGAAAAGTTCTAATTGTTACTTACCAAATTTACCTGAATTTTTTCCCAAAAAAAATCCTTTCCCCAGGCATTAGAACCTAGCAAGTATCTGCAACTTGAGGATTGAATAAGGAATCTCAGTCTGGAAATGCAGTAGATCTCCGAAGAGATCTTTTAGAATAATTTAAATGTTTATAGACTGTCTATTTTTCCAAAATCACCCTGACTTTTTCAGTAGCAAAGAGTGGTCTGTGACTCATTGGGTATTCTTGCATTATCGAGGATTCTTGTTTCAAATGCAGACAAGAAAATCAGGAGCCTAAGAATTTACATCCTTGAAGGGATCTCAGGTAGCTATTATTGTCAAACATAATGTTGAGAATCACTGTGAAGAGGTTAGGGTTAGTTTTTACACCCCACCCACTGGAAACAAATCCTAATCAACTATCAAAACCTGTTTCAAGTCCACTGACCTTTCTATTAGTCTGAAGATAATTGTTTTTAATTTAATATCTTGGTATCATGAATCATAAAATTTGCTTCACCTTGTATAAGGTATAAACAATGTATTTGTCCTAAAAGGTGTGTGGTCCCATTTTAAGGTGACTAAATAAGGAGCTCTGGTAGCATAGTAGTTACGAATTGGGCTGCGAACCACAAGGTCAGCAGTTCAAAACTACCAGCTGTTCCACAGGAGAAAGATGAGGCTTTCTGCTCCCGTAAAGATTTACAGCCTGGGAAACCCTGTACAGGGTCGCTATGAGTTGCAACCTACTCCATGGCACATAACAACAACAACAACAAATAAGCTTACCCTGACATCCTAGACTCTGGTGCACTGAGTCACTGTCACAGAGTACCGAGATGGAAGTGAAGAGATCTGTCTGGTCTAGTTCTACTCCAAGATGCTGTGTGTCCTAAGGTTGGTAGCTCAGCCTCTCTGATCCCCTCTCTGCTTGTCTGCAAATTGAAGGTGTGAGTGCTCACAGCTTTTTCATCCTACACATGGTCCTGCCAGAGGCAATCTGTAGTCTACAGACAGGGATTTTATCTTGTTTTTCTACACTCAGAAGTCATTCTTATATGATCATAAATTACATTCGGAAGACGGCAGGGTAAATAGTCAGAAAAATGTAAAAAACCCCACCCCATGGGATCAGTGGTGGCATTCAGGATATGGATTTTATAATACACACCTATAAGTACTAATTACAAAAAATGTTGGACAACTTAGTTGATCACACAGAAACTGGCGTGGATCTGTTCGACTGAGTCATAAAACCACATACTTGTTTTTCTCAGACAGGGTTGTTTTTCAGGGTGAGGGTTTCGGAGCTGTTATACTTTGAGATCTATGTATTATTAGAACCGGAAAAGGCCTGGATCATTTTGTCAACAAATCTTTATTGAGTGCCTACTATGTGTCAGGGGAGTGTGTGGACTCTGTAGGATGAGCACTGACTGCGAACCACGAGGCTGGTGGTTCAAGCCCACCAGCTGCTCCTCAGGAGAAATATAAAGCTTGCTGCTCCTACAAAGATTGACAGCCTCGGAAACCCTATGCAAAGTGAATCGGAACCAAGTCATGGGCTCTTAACAACAGCAACGCTATCTACTAGTCATTGTTGTGGCTATTAAGGCTCAATAGTGAACCATAATGACAAGCTCTCAGACAGCTAAGGTTCTAATGAAGGAAAGAGATGATAAAAGACTATAACAAATGAAACAGTGATAAAGGGCAAAAAAGAGAGTCATGTGGGGGAGGTGAGGGCTCTGACTTAAGGACCCCTAGTTTCTTGTCTACTTTTCCAGTCGTTACATTCTGCATTTGGAGTCAACGAGCTTGTTAGCAACAAAGGTGGAAGTGAAACTGTCTTTCCGCAAATCCAGCCCTCTCTTCTCAGTTCTTGTCAATATTACTATATTGTTCTATCAACATCTAGCCCATGGACCCCAGTATCCAGAACCCCAAGATCCCCCTCCATCCCCAAGGCCCAGAGTGCAACCCCGGCGGGGCGGGGCCTCAGAGACGCGCCGGCACGTCCAGCAGGTGGCAGCACCGAGCGACCGCGCCCCCCGCGCTGTCGCCCCGCGAGCCCGCATCATGGATGTCGAGCTCTCCTATTTCGCTCTGCTCGCCTTGGAATCCGAGACCCCAGGCCAGGACCAGGATTCATGAGCCGGTCGCAGAGGCCCGGCCAGGGGCCTCTGGCTCCCGACTCCGGCCGAGAGGTTAGTCCCGGGGCGGGTCCCAGAGCCGGGCGGGGACGCCTGCCCAGCAGAGCTGGCGCCCGCTCTGCCCCCGCCCCGCTCCCTGAGGTCCACACCCCCTTCGGGCTCCGGAGCGGCTGGGCTGCCAGAGCCGGTGCGCACAAGCAGCACTGCCTGCCTGCCTCTGCCAGGGACTCGGGTCCGAGCAGCAGGAGGACCAGGGCGCCCGGGTCCTCCGGCCGCCGCCTCCTCCTCGGTCCTGCTCTCACCTGCGCCTTCCCAGTCCATTCGCCTTTAAGGCCATTGGCGACAACCCAGCCTGAGAGAAGACAGCAGAGGGAGAGCGAGCACCTGAGGATACCGAGCCGGTACAGACTGCCTTTTAACCCGCAGGTGATGTGTGAGGTCCGAAGAACCAGAGATTTTAAAGACAACCGGGGCCTGCGTATTGAATGAAAGACCCAGTGCAAAGGCATCACCATGAACACGAGCAGTAAGTGGATCCCTCCTCTCCTTTGCCATGGGAACAAGGGTGGGGGCGGAGGTACAGGAGCCTGTGCAGAGCTGCCTGGCAGGCAGGCAGGAAGCCTGGCATCTACAGGGACACATGGCACCCAGACTCCTTCTCCGTGCTTTTTTGTGCTCCCGGGCAGAGGACAGCAGTTTAGCTTCCCACGATAATTTTGCTACTATTTTATTGGCAGTGCCCGGTGCCTCTGCTTGTCTCCTTCCAGCAATGCCCGGGAAGGCCTAGGAAACAGGAATGCTGGCCATTGTCTGATTGTGGGGGCCCTGAGGAGACCTCCGTGCACAAGTCTGGAAAAACACATCTGGAGGGCCCTGCTTGTCTCAGTGGTGGGAGGCAGGGCAGGGAGGCCAGCTGTGAGTGGGTGGGTGTGGGCAGGCAGTGGATGGGAAGGAACAGTTTGATAAACAGATCATTACGGAGCTACCTTTGGGTCTGGAGATTGTGAAATACCCAGCTCTGTGCACCGCCAGCGCCGTGGGTAGGCAGTGTTTTCTCCACACATCTACTGGCTATTTGGCTATCCCCTAGATTGAGAGAAAGGGGACAAGCCCTTTGGCACAGACTCTATCATGCCAGAGGTAACAACTGCCTTGCAGAGAGCCCAGATCAGACATCTTGCTGCTGATTGGGCCTTGACTGCTGAGAAATGCAATCAGAACTAAAAGGGAGACAGTGTTTCTCTTCAGTATAGCCTGTTTGAGCATGGGCAGTGGCCTAGGCAGTGTCCTGAGAACAGACTTCTGAGTTCAAGCTTGTCTGGGTCATTCTAGCACTGAGTGGGGTCTGAGTCGGAGGACCCTTAGGAATGTCACTTCCCTAGAGTCTGGGATCTCTGCTGTCAGACCCCTCTCTCTGGATCTCAGATTGCTCATCTATCAAACGAGAGGGACTAAATTAGAGACATTACTGAGGGCCCTTCTAATCTAGGAATCGACAAGTTTCTTTGGAAAAAAGCTAAGGCTGAGCAGTGAGTGCATGAGGCTGAGACCAGACAAACATCTTTATTTTCTCACTCAGCTTCCCCACCCCTAATGTCAAGGCTGTTGGCATAGAAATGAAGGAAGCAAAGCGCAAGCCACTGAGATGGAAATGAAATATATTTATTTACTATGTATTTGTATGACTCATTTCTGGGCTGTCTTTCTTTGTGTATTACATATCTATGGTAAGCAAGGCAGTGTGGCTGGACTCTTGCCTCCTAGACAGCCAAAGAATTCTGCCTCTTGAGTTTGACAGGGTGGAATGATTTGATGTTTTGGCTTTCTGCCAGGATCAGGGAAAGAGCAAATTCTGTACCCTTTGGGCCACATGTTTGCTTCTGTGTGCTTTTAGAGAAATAAAGACGTGTGCTGGCTGTCACTTGTCAATATCTCTAGGGGGGGAATGTATTTATGAGAGCCCTTTCACTAAATGACAGAAGAGAAAGATGGCTCTTCTGTTTTTCAAGGTTCTAAGAAATTAAGTAACAGATAACTGATTCTGCCTTTTTCTCCCTCTTGAATCCTAAGAAACTCTTGTCTTACCTGAGTATTTGTGAATGAGGAAAACAGTTTTTACTTTTTCATTTCTTTTCTTTTCTTTTTTTAAACACACAGTGGCCAGCTGATTGAATACAATGGAAGACAGGGCTAAGAAAAATCCCCTTCCAGCCTCAGGCCCTTTATCTAAGTAGGCAGAGTGTGTCTGTTTTTCAGGGGTTATAGGAGTCCTGGTGTGGCATTGTGAGTTAACGCACTAGACTGCAAGGTCAGTTTGAACCTCAAGATCAGCGGTTCAAGCTCACCACCCGCTCCTCGGAACCCTATACAGGTGTCTATGAGTCAGAACTGACTCAACAGCACTTAACAACAACAATAACGTGGGGAATATGGATAGTGGAGTAGCGTGGGTGGCCTTGGAAGATGCTGGCTTCCCCACCAGGGACATGCTTCCCTAAAGGTCTACCCAGGGGTCACTGCAGAGGAGATCCAAGCTCAGAGCTTGGGGACTGCACTCCATGATCATCACCACGGCTCTTCCCAGCGCTGGGCAGAGAAATCACTTTACACAAGTGAAGGAGTGGCAGGGTCATAAGGTGATGAGGACAGGGCGTTGGCAGGAAGTTTTTGGAGTGACCTGAACTGAGCAAAACTGCTCTTCTCTTTGAGGTGTGTAATTCTGGGCTTAACTCACATACCTGAAATTGTACCTAATAGAAACTCTAGCTTAGATTTCCCTTAACTTCCTTTTGTTTGGTCCTCTCTCACCTCCAGTCGCTGTGCTAATAATTAGCTCTTCACCTACATGATCTCCCTGAACTCTCACACCCAACCTGTGGGACGGACATTGTGACTCGCATTTTGTTGGTGGAACTTTGTAGGTAATGCTCAGTGACTTGCCCAAGGTCCTTCACTTCAGTTAATTGTTTGATTATAAACGACACTTGGACTTGTAGCGTATTTGGCAGTGTGAGCAATGCCTAATTGATTCATCTGGAAAAGAGACATGCAGAGTTGTGGTCTAAGAGTCAATAGAGCTCAAGGTCTAGAATCAGAGCATTCAGCATGCTGTCTTCCTTTTCTCACTTATTGGCTGTGTGGTCTTTAGCATGGTTGTCTCATCTGCAAAATGTGACTACTTCTGTGATGTTTCGTCTGAAATACAGAGGGTGGTTCCTTGAGTGGAGCTGGCATCATTCCTGAAGTGGTTGTGGTCAGTAGGGTCATTGTCACTATGGTGGTCATTGTTATGGCTCTTGTCATTGTTGACATTTTCCCTTGGGCGAGTCAAAAAGCAACCTCTTGGACATCAGACCTTCTTCAAAAATTTTGAAGAACACATTGTGGTCTTGAGGGATAAATAAGATAATATATGATAAAATGTTTTGCATGTATATTTTAATTGTTTTATTAATGAGAAACACATTTCTTAGGCTGCAGAATGGTCAGCCAGTGACTCTTAAGCATGACGTTTCATTTTATTTAATTCCTGCATATTAGCACACCCATCGCGGAAACTTGAGAGAAAGGGGTAATTTTGGAGGGACTGACATCAAGGGACTGGTACAAACCAGGGTAAAATGTAACAGGTAGCCTGTGACTCACAGAGCTACTAAGGGCAGACTAAGAGAGCTCCTTGAAGAAAGGTTAAAACACCAAAGGCCTGAGCAGAATGCCCAAGTCTTGCTTAATCCTTATAATTTCCATATTTTGTCTAGGATAGACCTCAATGCTCAGGTATCCTACTAAGAAAACTGCATCCTCTCATGAAAGCATAGACTAATGTCCACTCCCTGGGATGAAGGACTTCAAAGAAGAGGAAGGGGAAATAGGGCAGACGTATTCACGTTGGCTTCTTTGAGTGGGTCCGCAGTGGAACTGAATGCCCTGAGTCTTATTCCAAAGATCTGTCAGGTGTCTCCAGATCTACTTAGGCGACCCCCTAAGTGGTTTCCTTCATCCACTCCAGCCTTCTCCAGTCATTTTCTGTCCATCAAGCCCCTACATCACATTCTGCATACAACAGAGTCCCATCATTCTCAAGATGAGAGAGGAAACTGCTGAAAGTCCCTTGTGTCCAGCCTCAGCTTGTCCACACTACACCATTCTCCATACTCCAGCTGTAGTCACCTTCTTCCATTCCTTCTAAGGACCTGGCTTCTGCCGCCTGTGCATGTTGTCTGCCTGGTAAGCCATCATCTCCCCAGCACCAGCCCCTCTCCCCAGCCCACATTACTCAAGTTGGCTTCCACATCCTCAAGAGCTGCAAATCTCTCCATGGTCTCCCAGTTCAGCTAATTTCCTCTGATAAATGTGCTTAGCTCTGTTCCTCCTGAGCTTTATCTCTGTCGTTCCACAGCCATCCTGTGACGACCACTGGTTGAAGTCCACATCCTATGGGTCAGCAAATATCATGAAGGCTGTGATATGTAGCTCCTAGCATGGACTCTTTCTAGGCTATTTCTTGATTTTTGTTACACATTGGCCATTTTCCTGAACATAAATAGCAAAGAAGGAGCTAAACTCAGACCCCTTGTTCCCACATAGTTACCAGAGCCATGACAGTACCATTAGCCTAATGTACATATTCTTAGACAAAAATCAATCTTTGGTTATTCCCTGCCAGTGTCTCCATCTCTGATATTGGTCCCAGGATTCCTATGTTGGCCCCAGGCATTCCCATTCTGATTCCAGAAGTTCCTAAGCCCCTGGGTCAAAAACAAGAGAAGACTGAGGTGATCCCACTGTGCCAGAGACCTTGGGCGTCAGAGTCAACTGTGCGTCCCATAAGAGCCATGCTCCTCACATGAGTCAGAATCCGAGGAGCTCCCAGAATTATTGAGGTTGAGTGAACATCAGGCATAAACATGCCATTCTACCACATTTTATAGACTTTCTCCTGCCCTCAGGTCTTTGTTGTTGTTATGTGCCGTGAAGTTGGCTTCAACTCATAGGGACCCTGTATAGGGCTTCCAATGAGCAGCTGGTGAATTAGCATGAATTAATATGCTAACTGGAGTCATGGTATATAGTGTTGTGGGTTAATGTGCTGGACTGTAAAGTTGGTTTTAACCACAAGGTTGGTGGTTCAAGCTCACCAGTTGCTCCTCAAAAACCTTACACAGGGTCGCTATGGGTTGGAACCAACTCAACAACACTTAACAACAACAATATGCTAACTGGTGTGGTTCTGTGAATCAGCACTGGTCTGCAAACCATAAGGTCAGCAGTTCAAACCCACCAACTGCCCCTCAGAAACCCTATACAGGGTCTCTATGAGTAGGAATCAACTCTATAGCACTTAACAACAACAACAGTAAGAATATGCTAAAAAATTCTTTGTTTGTCATAGGATAAGCAGACATCATACTGAGCACAAAGTTGTGCTTGGGGGTATGGATTCTTGAGTTCATATCATTATCTATATCCTCTCTGTGACCTTGGATACAATAGACAACCACTCTGAGCTTAAATTTGATCATGTAT